GGTGTATATATGCGCTCCCCGTTCTTTGGCGGAACCCTTGGTTTTATATTAGGAATTCAGGGAATGGATCAAATAAACGGCGTACCGGACTTATAACTACATACGTTGCAACTTTACCACAATCTTCAAGAGATGTTCTGTCTCAGGCTGGAATAAAGATATCACGGATTTCATCGAAACCGACTTTTGATTACGCATGTTTTCTAAAGGGTTTGCAGTTCCTTGGAAGTACGCGTTATATTTTGGATTCTATTAATTACTGGAATCGTTGTAGAACATGGAAGGGTTATAGTGATAACCCTATCCTTAGGAAGAGGATATTTATTGTCATCCAAGAATTAATGAAACATTTCTTTAGGAAATCCAAAGTTTTATATAAGTTGAATGCAGGATCAGGAATCATAGTCCCTGAAATCTTGGCAAATGTGATAACCGAGATACCCGAAGCAAAGAAAGTTTTATCTAAATTAAGAACTTTTACTTGTGGCTCCACTGTTAATACTGCCAAATTTATGTATCAGTTCTTTCAAATTACAGTCGTCATATTCAACAATTGGAAGTCCATCCATATGAAGATTTAAGTGAATTATCCAAGTTAATTAGTGTTCACAAATTCTTATCATCGATAAGTATGGAGGAAAATCACACTTCTGGGAAATATCTTGGACCTCCAACAGTGCGCCTTTTGAAATAATAAAAAAGGCGTATTTCATAACGCGGTTAACGATAGGTAGAATGTATTTTCCTGTTGAAGAGTTGGCAAATTTTGTTAATCTTGAAGAATTAATCTTATCTGCATTTGATGATCAAGATTACCCACGATCAAAATGGATCCAACTAACGGGAGTTTCTTTAAAGAAATTAAAGATATTTTATTTTGTAGTATCAATTCAATTATATATCTTGATATATTCGCAAATTTCTTCAAAAACTGTGGAAAGTTACAACAAGTAATAATACACAGTCACAAGTTATTTGATCCAAACAATTCCGGATTACTGATCGCCAATATTGCACAATTTTGTCCAGATATTATCTTGTACGAGGGACCCATCTTACAAGATAATAGAAGAGAATTTACGAAATTACTAGATTCTTATAATCACCTAAGGTCATTACACCTTCGTCCATCAAAGGGAATTCCTGATGCGTTAAATCAAGAATCGTCATCAACGAATCAAAGGAATTCCGAAGGAAAAGTCGATTTTGATGCCATTTTTAAGGAAATCACGTAAAATCAACCACAAAATTTACGTAATCTCAGAATATCAGATGGATGGATGATATCAGCGGAAGCCTTCGAAAAATTTCTAGAAAGTCGAGTGGAAATGTCTCGACCTGTTTGTTTCTATTGGAATCCTACCGTGCAATTTAAAGGACAAATGGAGAAGTTTGTAAAACGTATCATCGATATGGAGTATTAAAAAATGTTAGTCATGTATTTTACTGACCAATAGAGTTATATTAATAGATTGTAATCATTTTTGGAGTTAGCAGTACCTTATTTTTTTCAATAAAAAATTTTTTATTTTATATTATTTTTTTTAGGAGCGCGTCTAAATTTTATGTGTTCTTACATGGCAATTTGACTAGTGAATTGGGAGGTGACAAAAAAAATTCTTTAGGGTAATTATGTATCGTTATAACATATTGTTTTATTAGTCATTTTCAAATTTCAAATGTGATTTTTACGTAATCCTTTAAATAATATATAGAAAAATTTTAAATATTCATTTTTGTTTGCATCTGTGACAATATAATGAGAAGTCACGTGTGACAATTTTCTAAAATTCCTTTGGTTTAAAGAATGACTTTTCATATAAAATTTATTGAGTATAGGATAAGATTAAGTGGAGCTTCATTCAAAAATGATACTTGATAATATTTAAATTTTGTTGCTAGAGAATAATAGTTTCACCAATTATATTGTGTTTTTAAAAAATTGCTAATTAGGATCTTGTACTAAAAATTGAAACAAGATTTTTTAATTAAGGTTTGCTTCATCTGCCATTAATCACGTGTGGTTTTTGGTAGGGATTAACGCTTATAACACGAAGGATGGATCATTTTACAGGTACGGGTTATCGAATCGCTTATCTATAATAACTCTCGATAAAAAATTGGTTTATGAATAACTTTTAAAATTTTGAAATCGAAAATTCTCATGGGACCGCTAAGGTCCTAAGTTTCAAAAATTAAGATTCTGGATATAACATTATCATTAGAAAGTAAAATATAACGCCAGTAAATATCTCTAGAATTGGCAAATTTATAGGACCGTTTAACATTCCTATGTACATCAGTGCCTATATAAACCCAAAAAAAGACAAAAAAGAAAACATTATTCTCATTATTTTTAACTTAATGACTCATGTAATTCTTGGAAATAAAAAAATGGACTCCAAAATATAGACCTTTAAAAAAAGACTCCATCGAAGCAGGATAGGAAGAATATTCGATAATTTCGACTTAAAAGATGATGCTGTTATCATAATTTAATGCGAAAATAGAAGATATATACAAAAAAGGGTTAGGGAAATTCTTATTAGTCCGGAGCGTAGCGAAGGACTATTATTTTGATCTACTTTTTGTGAAAATTATGTTAAAATAAACTTAAATCTAAAGGTTAGCATTCACTTAGTACCCATTTATTTATCACTCCGAATCACATTGCATGATCATATTTACTGTAATTACAACTTGGTTAATTTTTATTTTATTCATTTTTAATTTTTCTTTATGGGTTAAACACCCGGTGAACGGTGTAACGACATAAATACTGAAATAAAATAAGTGTCATGAAATATATAAAATTTTGCTGAGAATTTTTTTCTTACTTATTCATATTATCCATTATAGAAAATAAAATTCAAAAAATTTATTAAATTTTTTTTTTTTTTTTTTTTTAAAGACGCAGTAATGCATTTATTTATTGAAAAATTCAAAATCAGTTAAAAAAAACATGATAATCCCCAAAAAAGAGGTACAAAAGTAGAAAAAATAAAAAATGCTGCCTAATAATCATCATTAGTGGACTAACTCCAATCAGACCAACCGGTTGTCCCGTCAGGCTCCAGTAATAATCACTAGTAGAATTACCATCGCCACCCAACTACAATAAGGAAGTTACTTACCGCAGTAAAGGAACTTAGACAAGTTACGTGAAGTAATTAGAGAAGATTATTCCCGGTGACAATGTAAGCAATTCTCTTGCCCATTCCTCATTTGTTTTTAGCGATCTAAAGATCTGAGGAATATCTTGTTGACCTCGATTTTTTGCATAACCAGTTACACCTCCATTAGATATGCGCAAGTTTTTAATTTCAGAAGAACAAATGCATAACATAATCATCACATCAGTTAGGGCCTGTTTATCGCGTATATTAGACACATTATACAAATCTAGCCTCTCCTTAACTGATTCTAATAAAAAGTGGTCTAGAAAATCGATCCCTTCATTTTCACATTGATTACTTCGCACCTTTTGAATTTTGTTAGATACACAAGTTGTTTCTCAAACATAACAGAGGTTATTTCTTCTGAAGCATTGAGATTTTGCAATTCCCTTCGAGCTCTAGATATACGTGATGAACCAATAACAGCATCAGTAGCTATTTTGACTAAGGCTTTATGTATTGCTTCTACTTCTTTTTTGCTAAGATTATCTCGTATAATATGCTGAGCCATTTCTTTGATAGTCTCTCCTTCTGGAATAATATCAGATACTTGGCATATATTTACTTCTGCTTCTGACTCCTCTTCTTGAAAGTTACTTGTATTTTAGCTCGACCAGTTCTTTGAGAGGGATTAGTATGAATATCTGCTCTTTGCTAAAACTATATCCATCTTTAAGACGCAGATGATCCTTATCTCTTTTCGTTTCATCTATCAAGAGCTTGAGTAATTCTGAGGCATATTGGCTAAGTTCTTCATTACTCATATCTTACTGAGTTTGCGATCTGTAACGTACTTTGTTATAATTGCAGACATGATAATGTAAATAGAGATTATAGATCAACTATTAAATTATACTAAGCCATTAGATTATACTACGCATAAAAAGTTCAATTCGAAAAAAATATTCTGATAATTCACTACGTGATCCCTCTAGAACCCATTCATAGTCAGTGAAGTCAGATGAGCGAAAAAATATATAACCTATGACTTAGTCATAAAGGGTATTTCATCGATTTGAAATCTGCAGATATATATGTTATGCAAAAAAATATATAGTCATGAGACCTCCATCCCAAGGCTATGAATGGTCTAAGACCTAGATGATAATACTCTAAAGCATTTGTCTTAGTGAGGTCATCATATAAAGCATCTGGTCTATATTTTGATAGAGTTAAATTTGGGTGATAGAGGAGTTTTATAAGCATGTCGCTCCTCCAAGCTTTTGTCTCTTCACGTTCCCAAGTTATCCTTATTAATGTAGACAAGCTATCACTGGAATAATTCATTTGGATTAAATTCTCAAGTGAGGATTGTTTATTTTTTTCTAGAGTAAATAGACTTACTCCTCCCATTACAGTAGACTCTATACTAATAGGAAATTTTTTACGAATATCTAATCTACTAGCTAGGATAAATAAAGGTGAAATTAGTGCTGGGTGGTAGAATTCAGCTAAGATGTCTAATTCAAATTTATCAATATCTATAGTCCCAATATTATCTAAATAATCTGAAAGCCTATCAGTGTATCTGTAACCTTCTTAGATTAGCTTCTAGAATAGCTTTCCATTTAGGTTGACCCATCGGCCGGTTAGTATATTGAGTACTGTTCTTAGCATTATGTCTATAGCGTAAGTGAGAAAAGGTATTTATGTCTTATTTTACTACTGAATAATTTAAATACACATTTATTATAAAATTAATCCGCAATAAAATTGAAAGGTTTCTATATCCTAAAATACTTACATGGATCGTATTACTTGCTCACATATCAAGAGAAATGATACTATTTGTAGAAGATTCTGTACTTGTACTATTGGCTGTGCAAGACACTGGGCATTATATGAAAAAAATTTGGAAAAAAAACCATGTCTTGTTTGTGGATTTCCTACTGCTTCTACTACAGGATGCTGTCCCAAACACTCTGCTAGGTTCCATGCACTGAATTATCGGATAAGGCAGAAGTATAGGGTTGAGGGCTTTCAACTTATGAAGACCTCTGAATTATCTGCTGAGGAGTGACCAAAAAAAAATATTATTCCTTTCATTAGTTGATTATTATTGGAGTGGCATAAAGATAGAGATATTTTTTTAAAAAATACATACTTAGACAAGTGTAGTCTTCTTCAGAAATTTTATATAAAGAATTGGAAGAAGACTACACCTTTCTGATGCATAATCAAATAGTATTAACATATATCAAATAAATCCTGAATATCTTCTGCGATATGTGTAGTATTTATATTACTAGAACTAGAGAAATTACCTAATAACAATTCGTTTGATGAGAGCTTACTATACCCATATCACATATCTCCTCCTTTTTCCCAATAAATTTCTTTTCCTATTTGATATAAAGGTAATTTAAAAGCGTTTTTAGTATTGAATGATCCAACTAGATGGTAATATCTAAGACTTTTATCTATAGCCTTAAATTTTAATCCATAATTTGCGTAAAGTGATGCATTTAATAAACCAAGTTTTGCTCGGATTGTTTTTAATCCTGATTTTTTAGCACTGCGTGATACATCTATATTATCAAAAATCTGAGCCATTTTAGGAACTAAACTCTGGAGATATAATATCGATTCAGAAGAATCTATACGCTTCTTAATATCATCAGCTTTATATCTTGTTTTATCATCGATATCCCTAGCTGGTGTGCAAATTCTTAATAATTTAAGGCAAATTCGATGCCTCTCAGTTCAAATTGCAGTTGTAAGCCTATCTTCTCTATAATCTTTACGGGAAATAGCCTCAACTGCTATTTTATTACTAATACTAGCATCTCATAGTTGCCTATAAGCTCTAAACCATTTCATGTGATTGTAATTCCCATATTTTGAGATGAAGTCTTCGGTTAGTAATTCAGATGAAATACCATAGCAATCCATAATATGATATCGGTCTAAAGAGCGCATCTCTTCTAAAGTCTTTTTTGGTTTATTCTCCAATAATTCAGCAGTCTCATGATTGATAATAAAAGCATTAGATATATCTGATATCTCCTCTGCTTTAATAATAGAAGAACTCACCTTCACTGTTTGGGATAGTAATATTGTAGTATCTTCAGGTTTAGAAATGAATTCTATGATAGAAACTACCATACCTGCCTTTTGGAGAAAATTGACCATTCTCTAATCAAATAAATGTCGGAAACGAAAATTTTCCAATATATATACTATCCACAATCAAATAGTTGGCACATCTTTATTCCGGATAATAGAATCTATATCTGGAAAAATTCCTCTATTCTGAAGTTCTTGGAGAAGGCATTCTCGTTTATCATTCAACAACCATTGGAATAATCCTTTCTTTGTAATAGGAACATTGAACGATCTTTGTTCTATATAACATATATAATCCTTAATACATCGCATGCGAAATAACATCTGATTCGTTCTAGCATTTGTTTCTATGAAGCTATTAAAAAGACAGAATGCTCGCTCAAACTTAGGATTGGTACATGATACTCCTATTTTTAGAGTGCTAGTATAGGCAATTAGGTCTAAGTCTTTTCATGATTCTTCTACATTGCTAAAATCACGAGCCTTTTCCTTAGGATCTGATTTACCATAATATTCCTTGATTCGTAGTTCTGAAAAATCAGTCTTAAGAGTACGAACAATCTCTTGTACATCTTTTCTGAAATGACAAATAAGTGAAACACTTTACCGAAACTCAAAAGGTAGTGAAAACATTTTTTTAGCCCAGTCTCAAAGTTCAGCTAATACTGTTTCTTTATTAGAAGCTAAGCGGAATAACTTGCCTTTCTGTGGTTGATAAGTATTGTGGATAATAGAGAATAGTTTATCCTTTCGAAGGGCTTTAATCCATTCAATATTTAGATCAGTTAGGTCATTATCCATAACAATAATACGCCTTGCCTCTTGGATTAGTTTATATAACTTTTCTATCGATTAACCCGTCAGACGACTTTGTGCTTGAGCAATTATAGATACTATTTCGTCAAGCCATAAATCATATTGGATTGGAGAACATTTACATTTTTTACTGCATTTACAATTATTAGTAATCCAATGTAAGCTTTCTATCTGGCAAACTATCCTCTTGTGATCAGGTAGATTTATATTACCATCAATATTACAATATGATTTGAGATTGAGTCTTGTGGTAACAGCATTAGAATAAGAGTGATACGTAGATAATGCTAACAAATTCACAACGTCAGATATAGTAAGATGTTCGAGAATGTATATTTTTCCAGTTTCCCAAGGTGACCCTATATAAATATCGCCTTCATTGGGTAATGGTCTTAAATATTTCTTCTTATATGTTTCTGTCACTGTAAGAAGTTTATTATACTTGACCCAAGATGGGAATTTTATGAAGGCTTTAGGAAAACCTGGGCCTTTTATCTTGCGAATGCTAAACGCCGAAAATATATTTTTATTTTCTTTTTGAATTTGTTCTGCAATAGATGGGTTGCATTCAAAAACTTCCTCAGGTTCATCACTTCCTTGCCGAAAGCATTTTACAATGAATGTTCTACTACTGGCATATACATGACTGAACTACCGCTGATCCTTGTTATGTATCGTTTATATAGTGGACATTCTAGTGAACCTTTCCGGTTGAAATATATGAAGTTTTCCTTTGTCTCTTCCTTTTCTTCAATAGCCCAATCCCTAAGATAGTTAGAATACTTTTGCAAAACAAGTTTTGCGTATTTTTGCAATACATCCTGACCTATGATTATTTTTAATAGATTATTATTTTTTTCTTCACTAAGCATCTGAGGTCTTACTTCAAGTTCCAAACTAGAAGGCGGTTAAACTCTAACGTGATCAAGTTCATTCCAGCTATTATCTAAAAAGAATTGAAGAATGTGCTTTATGTGATCTTTTTTTGCCAAACCAATAAGACGAAGGTTAAAATTTTGACCAGGAAGTTCTCTATCAATGTATTTGCCAAATTTTTCTCCAGTTAAGGTATAAACTAATTCAGTGAGTGCTTTGAGCTCATAATGGTCGATAAGAAGAGTTGGCGCATATAAAATATGGTAGTTATACTTGCTAGGATCTGAAGACGTGGCAATTACTAACCCCTTGAGAATATCTTCCTAAATACAGTCAAGAATTCAATACAAAGCTCTTATGAAAGAGCAACAGATTCGAATTAATACTTCTTGTCCTTTAACACTAGCAGTTTCCACATCTTCTTTTGACGCATCAATATCAATCACAGCTTTTAAAGGCTTTTGACCATTAACACATTTGTGAATCTCAGGTAAACTATATACTTCTGAGACGTCATCTGCAACAGAAAATTTGGGAGCATGATTACCATCTTGGTCGATTTTAATAACTAATTTATCCTCTACCTCACTTCGGTTATAAGCGTTATATAAGCTAGAGCCTTTTTCATTCAGAAAAAGAAATGAATAAATTGGAAAACATTCTAATGATCCTTTATCATTCGACATATATCTAGATAGTGATAAGGCAATTTTTCGGATTTCACTTATCAAATTCTTGGAAGAAAATTTATTATTGAACTTTTCCTGCCTTAAAGTATATATCACTTTAATAGGTGAGTCCTATCTCTCTTGTACAAATGGAGTCTTGGTAATACTGGTTGAGACACAGGTAGTTTCTTCATTATCTGACTCATAATTAGACTCACAATTATTATAATTATCTGACCCTAAGTTGGATCCATTATCAGTATAACTGCTAGAGTCACTTAAGTATTCATAAAACTCGACACCATCATAGCAGGTGAGTATTGGGCCAGATCTAGTGCAATCAGTTTGATTGAAAATAGTTGAGGTATACATGTTATCAGTTTGAAAGAATTTATATAACTTTATATAAATCGAAAATGTTTAATTATTTTTTTTTATTCATCGAAAAAGAAGTAATAACAAACTTAGATAGTAAAACACGAAAGAAGACCAAATGAATTATTGCATCAAAGTGTAGCCTTCTTCAGAAATTTTATATAAAGAATTGGAAGAAGACTACACTTTCTAGGTATGTACTCGATATGGGATAGCCTTTGCATAATATAGAGGTATACCAAAAAGAGATACGAAGTTAGCACCTCCAATTCTCTAACCAACTAATTCACTAACCAAACTCCAAATGCTACTCAAATATTCCTCAAATATCCCTGATGCATTTTTTCATCCTCGAAAAAAGAGACATATAGCAAGCTAGAAAGCAAATCGTAAAAGAAAGGCAAGTGGATATATATCTGAAAGTGAAGCCTTCTCCGTAATTATATTATATAAAAATAGAAGAAGGCTTCATTTTCTAGGTATGTGTTCGGCTATAGTATAGTCTTCGTGTAAGACTTATTCGCTTAATGTCAGCCAATACTATTTTATAATTTCAGTCAGAATTATGGGCATAATAACTCAGCATCCAAGTTGGCATATAGGTGGACTAAAACTGGTGAACTAATAGAACCACTCTAGCTCCCTGCTAGTTCTATAATAGTTCTAGGATACTATCAAGTTACCATCATGACGCCAAGCTGGATTCTCAAATCATGTACTCTAAAGATCAGCCAGAATTATGGCATAATATCAGCTGAAATTAATCGCAAATCTATCGCGCCACCCGACATGAATTTTTTTACCACAATTTGGTATTTTAAGAGGCAACCAAATAGGCAAAAAAGAAGCATCCTCGATATATTAATAGGCCACCAAACAGGCATAGAAGCAGGTAAACAAATGGATAGCTCTTTAGGAGTAAAAGGAATACAGAGTAATGTAAACATATGAATAGTTCCTTGATAAA